CACGAAAAGTTCTAAGTTCTTAAAACATTTTAAAAGTCATATTCTGTAGTCTTTGAAAGATCTGAATAATATATATCCATCTGAAATATAACTCTGTACAATCTACAAAACCTAACTAACATGACTACAAGCTTGACTATTTTAGATGACTCTCCATTAACCTATATTTCTTTTTTTTCTCAAAGTTTATTAAAATACAAAAGTCTCCATTTCTGCCCCTCCTCCCAACCCCCTCCCACTCCCTCCACTCCCGCCCCTCCTCCCTCTCCATCCCCAAGAGCAGTCATGGTCTCCCACCCTGTGGGTAATTCAAGCTCCTCCCCCCTCCCTCCAGGTCCAGGAAGGTGAGCATCCAAACAGACTGGATCCCGGAAATCCAGTATATGCAGAGGAAACAAATCCCAGTGTCATTGTCAATGCTTTTCAGAAAGACTCTGGGCCAGCCACATTCAGAGAATCCGGCCTCATTCAGAGAATCTGGCTGGATCACGTGCTCGCTCAGTCCCAGTCAACCGGCCTTGGTGAACTCTCATTAGATCAGTTCCCTTGTATCAGTGGGTGATCGCACCCCTCGCGGTCCTGATTTCCTTGTTCATGTTCTTCCTCCTTCTGCTCCATATTTGGACCTTGGGGGACTCCGTCCGGTGCTCCTTGTGGGTCTTTGTCTGTATCGCCATCTATCTTCGGATGAAGGTTCCCTCTGATCTTGCCTTCCTTGCTCATGTTCTCTATATTTCTTAATTTTACATTATATTTTAAATGAGTTACATAAACACAATATCTTAATCAAGAGTAGAAATATATATATATATATATATATATATAATTTGTATTAAATTAACAAGATCCATACCAAAGCAAAGTTTTGTTCTATATATCATATCCCCTTTTAAATGTAAACAAACATTCATAAGCAATATTTGGGAATTTGGACATAGTTCTCTACAAACTGTTTCCTGCTTTTTATTGGCTGAAGTAATTTGGGGGGGTGTTCATGGTGGCCTTTCGGGAAGTCTTGGTTCGTCAAACTACATTGGTCTAGAAGGATTTCTCAGGTTCTCATCCTCTGTGGAAACAAAAGATAAACATCTTTTCGAAAGCAACAAATCCTTAAACCCAAATTCTGAAGTCATGATACCTTTAAAAGTGGTAGATTGGTTTAGTTTAGCAGCCCATACAATGAAATGTCTCTCTGTACCTAGCTCCTTCACAGTCAAAAAACTAAAAGAAAACACAACAACACATAATCCAGACTCTCTATGTGTATATTCCATCTTTACATAGCTTATTCTTCTTACTCTACTACTTTTTCTACATAGTTATTTATTGGTTTAATATTTATTTTAGTATCTTGACCCCTTTAACCTATGACTGTCTGTACTCTTTTATATTATAACTGTTGATACTCTTTTTCCTCTCTGTCAAGCCTATGTACATTCATTCAATACTGTGACCCATTTAGAGGTCTTTTCCATATGAATTTGTCTTTATTTTGTATCTGTAATTATTTTCTGACCAGAAGCACCACTTTTTTTTTAAATGCTGAGCAGGCGTGGCTAGAACTTATTAGATGCTGCCTCCTTGCTCTTCCAAGTACAATATGGCAGAGGCACTTTCACTGCCCCTGAGAGCCACGAACATAGAGCCATTTTTAGGCACACAGTGGGTCTATGTTGCCATTAGGCAAATTGTAGCACTCTGCTCACAGACCTCATTCAGTTGTTTCATAGCTGGACCTCCGAAAGAGTCAGAGTTTGTGCTGGCAGCATAGCCCTGGAAGCTACCATTTGTTTGTTTGTTTGTTTGTTTGTTTATCCAGCTTGTGCTGAATCAGCAAAACATCTCTTAAAAGAGCAGACTATGGGGCCATTGGCAGTGAGACCAGAATTTATCCCTACTGCTTTTTCTGGCTTTTTGAAACTCATTCTCTCTGGAGGGATACATTTCTCAGCCTAGATATAGTGGGGAGGGCATTGATTCTGCTTTAAAGCAATGTGCTAAACTTTTTTTGACTTCCCAGGGGAAGCCTTACCCTTTCATAGGAGTGGATGAGAGGTGGAATGGGGGATAGGAGTCAGGAAAGTGGAGAGAGTAGGAAGAGGAGACTGAGGGAAAATCGATTTTACATGCAAAATTAGAAAAGATAGTTCTTATTAAAAATAAATTACAATAAAAATAAAATATATGGAAGATTTAAAAAGAAGACACAAATAGAAAAGGAAGAAGTCAAAGACTTGTTTTTTCTTTTATATTTATTTATTTTGCATTTAAAATGAGATAAAATTTTCTCATTTTTGCTCATTTTCCCATTTGATCTCAGTTTTGGATCACAGAGTTCTTCTCCTCTACTCAAGGTTGAACCAAGAAGTATCTTCTACCATGTTCTCCAGTCAGTAGTGGCATTTATGTTGGGTGCAAAACAACACTTTCTTTATCCTATAAAATATATCCATTTCCCTTCTTTTAATTTTTTAAATTAATTTTATTGAACTATACATTTTTCTCTGTTCCTCTCCTTTCCTCTCTTCTTTCCTTTAACCCTCTCCCATGGTCCCCATGCTCCCAATTTACTCAGGAGATCTTGTATTTTTCTACTTCCCATGTACATTGGACCCATATAAGTTTCTCCTAGGGTCCTCACTGTTGTCTAGGTTCTCTGGGATTTTGAATTGTAGGCTGGATTTCTTTGCTTTATGCTTAAAAGCCACTTATGAGTGATTACTTATGAAATTTGTCTTTCTGGATCTGGGTTACCCCACTCAATATGATGTTTTCTAGCTCCATCCATTTTCCTGCAAATTTCAAGATGCCATTATTTTATTCTACTATGTAGTACTCCATTGTGTAAATGTACCACATTTTCCTTATCCATTCTTCAGTTGAGGGGCATTTAGGTTGTTTCCAGGTTCTGGCTATGACAAGCAATGCAGCTATGAAGAGAGTTGAGCACATGTCCTTGGGGAAGGATTGAGCATCCTTTAGGTATATACCCAAAAGTGGTATTGCTTTGTCTTGAGGAAGGTTGTTTCCTAATTTTCTGAGAAATCGCCATACTGATATCCAAAGTGGCTATACCAACTTGCATTCCCACCAGCAATACAGGAGTCTCCCGTTTACTCCACAACCTCTCCGCATAAGTTGCCATCAGTGGTTTTGATCTTGGCTATTGTTACAGGTGTAGGATGGAATCTCAGAGTTGTTTTGATTTGCATTTCTCTGATGGCTAAGGATGTTGAGCTTTCCTTTTGTTTCATTACATTGAACCATTCTTCCAGGACAATGTTGAATAGAAGTGGTGAAGATGGACATTTTCATCATTTTCCTGATATTGGAGGGGATGACTTTAGACTCACTCCAATAAGTTTGAACTGAATTGTAGATTTTATGAAGTTGTCTTAACAAGTTAAGAAAGTTCACTTTTGTTCCTAATTTATGAAAAAAAATAATCAGTGCTTAGTTTTGCAAAGGAATTTCCGATATATATTAAGATTATCTACATTTTCTTTGTTAAAATGCTATATATTATTTTCTATAATAAAAGAATACTTCATCCAGGTATTGTGGTGCATTCCTATATTGCTGTACATGAGATGCTAGACAGCATTGCTAGTTTGAGGGTGCTTTGAGCTACAATCAAGTATCTTCCTCCCTCCCTCATCTCTCTCTTTCTCTCTCTCTCTCTCTCTCTCTCTCTCTCTCTCTCTCTCTCTCTCTCCCCCTCTCTCTTTCTATATGTATACATGCATATACACATATATATATATGTTTATATACGTATATGTTTGTATAAAATTACAATTTTGTTTACAATATCTCAGAGAAATATAAATAATAAAATTAAGTAAGCAAAACCATTATTCATACACACCATGAAGTCATTTTGGGGGTATTGAAAAGAAATATATGCAGGCATGCATCTCAAAAATTATAAATTAAAACATAAAAATAAGCAACAGAAAATGTTACCCTTCAATTTCTGTAATAAAATTGGGTAACTGTGAGTATGTAAATATGGAAGGGAATGATGTGGGATTCCCTTCTATATGTTGTGAATACCATTGGTTAATAAAGAAACGGTCTTGGACCTGTGCAGGGAATAGTGGTAGGCAGGGAAAACAAAACTGAATTCTGGGAGAAAGGAGGTACAGTCAGGGAGAAGCCATGTAGCCCCGCCAGAGACATATGTTGAAAACTTTACCTGGTAAGTCATAGACATATGGCAATACAGATTACTAGAAATGGGTTAAATTAAGATGTAAAAGCTAGCCAATAAGACGCTGTAGCTAATGGGCCAGCAGTGTTTTAAATAATATAGTTTATGTGTGATTATTTCAGGGCTAAGCAGCCCGGAACCAAAAAATGCCCTCCCACAGGAAAGGAATGTATTTGTCAGGATATAATTTAAATGATAGGAGTTAAAGAGGAAGATGGATGGAGATGGGAATGTCAAGTTAAGAATTAATGAAAATTATTTTTATCTTTTATTTAATAAAAAATATTTCAATACAGATTAAAAGTGAACTATCTGTTCCTTCAAAAACTGATTATTTGGACTATATGTCATAGGGAGCAATAGAAAAAAACTAATTTTTCTTAAGAAAAAAAGGAGAAAGCTTAGGCTTCTTTGCATTTTAGGGATGTTAGAAGGACATAATGATTATGGTGTATCCCATAGTTTGGAGTCTTCGCTGGCTCCAAAATAATTTTTGTTGACTGAGGTCCCACATGTGTTTAGTCCCAAATAAACACACAGAGGCCTACATTGATTATAAACTGATTGGCCTATTAGCTCAGGATTCTTATTAACTCTTACACCTTATATTAACCCATAATTCTTGTCTGTGTTAGCCCTGTGGCTTGTTACATTTTTCCGCCCGGCAGTCACATATTGCTTCTGTGTCTGGATGATGACTACAGACTAAGACTTCCCCCTTTCCAGAATTCTCGTTGCCCTGCCTCTACTTCTTGCCTGAGTACAGGCCAATCAGCATTTATTTAAAATACAAGAGAAAGGGTACAGACTATTGTCCCATAGCAGATTTTTCTCATCAGATTTTACTCAAGTCTACACAGAAATAAACTTCTTTTTTTTTCAAATGAAGAGGAGTCAGAAGTTCTCATTCGCTTCTCTCTGCAGAACTGGAAGTTGTGCTGTCAGCTGCCCTGCAGGCATGTCTGTCTGTCTGCTGTCAGCTGCCCTGCAGGCATGTCTGTCTGTCTGCTGTCAGTTGTTCTTGCCCAGGCTCAGCATTCCTTTCCCAGCCCTGCTGGGTTCCTCAGTCTTCCCTTTCCCTGTAGCGCTTCTTCTCATTCCATCACAGAGACCTCTTTAGAAGACACCACTGCTCCCCTCCCCCACCAGGCAGATATTGCACAGGTGCAGCCCTGTCTGTCACAGTGTGCTTCTCTCAGGATACAGTGATACACAGCAGCATCGCTCAGGCTGACCCGAGGCAGGATCAAGGTACTTGACTTTCTGTCAGAGGGAATAGCCAGAAAGGCCATTCCATTGCTTGTGTTTTGTTGTAGACCATGAATCACATATTCTGGACCACGAAGAGGAACCTGTCGGTACCAGTGAATGTACTCGCTCCCACTGATCGTAGAGTGGCTACAAGGCAAGTGTACAGTTTCATCTTCAATACTTTCCATTGAATCTGGCTGTGTAGTTTTAGCATCACCCACAATACCTAAGGAGATAAGAAGCAACAGATCAACTTTGGACCATTCAATATTGAAGTGTCTAAAAGTCAGGCTATTGGATGCCTTCTCCCGAGTTCTGCTGCTGAGTGCTTTATGTTGCTCAGGACCAGAGGAAATTGCTAAAATTTACTCCTTAGCTGTGAAGAATAACACAGCCAAAGAAAAGATGCCCATGTCCCCCTTTCCTCAAGCTTAATGAACCTGGAGCTTCTTGAATATAAGTCCGCAAGCGGGATACGCAGCTGCTCATGCTGACAACGCCCAGACAAAAGAATCTCACAGACACCAATTCTCTCCAGTACCTGGGAAAATCACAGAGGGAGAAGTAGAGGCAGCAGACCCATTTTCTTTGTCTTTAGGCACAAAAATCATCCTTCCGTAGGTCCAGAACACTTACCCAAAGTTAGGAGAATGAGAATTCCACTCACGAACCTCATACTTAAGAGCAAGTAGATGTTCTATGGTTCTGAGCTCAGAATCTGTGTCTGATGGGAGGATGTGAGGCCTCAAGCCACAAACCAGAACTTTCTAGCATTGCCCCTCCTCAAGAAGTCTTCTTTGTAGGTGGTTCTAGTCATGTGTCTTTTGGTTGGGTCTATCTCTACCTTCCAAGTTTAAATACAACATTTAAAAGATGAAAATGATTTTCTTGCAAAATTCCCAATTGGAGTTTTTGTTGAGATCATTTCAAGGCTTAATTCAACAAGGCTTTGTCTGGATGTATGAAACCTTTCAAAGAAACTCTACTCCCCTTGTTTATAGGACAGGCAAAACTCAGTGACAATTGATAGTTTAGTGTGCTATTGAACTGATAGGAACTGTTCTTTATTTCAGGAATTCTTATTGAACTTCGTGCTATAAGAATAAGAAGGACTTCCTATTTATAATGGCAATATAAAAGTCTTAGGAGGAGAAATAAATGAACTTTTAGAAATGCCAACTTCTTTATCTCCTCAAAATTATGATAAACTGGGTTAAAAATGGAGCAACATTCTAGAAGAAACTATTTTTAACATACTTAATGAAAATCATTTCTTAAGTGCGTAACAGTGCATGATCAGTATGGCAAGAAAAAAACACGATAAAAGTAAAGTTCTCTGGTTTTTCAGCCTCCTAGGTGGACTCCTGCAAAAGATTCTGTCTCCTACTTCTTCTAACTGGGATTACTGTCCAGACACCAGTGACTTGCTTGCCCATGACAATCTTCTGTGAACCATGCTCTAACACAAATCTCACCTCTAGCCTCACCTGACAGTGGTATGCCTTGAAGATAGTAAATAGGAAAAAAAAATAAGGGGCAGGAAAACAAGATTTGGAGAAGAAAATGAAATGATGCCATTTGACAAGGGAGGTAGAAATACTGCCTCTAGTTTATCAAAAGTGATTACTGGAAATATGGCCAGGAATACAACTTAAATCATTCCTTCCTCTCTGCTATAAAACTTAACTTGTTGATATTCTGTAACAATAAATATTTGGTTATTTAAAATTGACCTCTATGTTAATTACCTGTCTTATTGATTACTTGTCTAACTGAAGACTGACCCCCTGACTTTGCTGAATGTTTAGCAAAGGCTCTAACCCTAAACTATATTTCCTATCCACATAAATTTCTTCTTTTCCTTCCTTCCCTCCTTTCTTTCTTTCCTTCTTCCTTCCTTTCTTTCTTTCTTTCTTTCTCTCTTTCTTTCTTTCTTTTGAAACTAAGTCTTGCTCTATTGCTCATGCTTTCTCAAAACATGCTCCCTACTCCCACACCCACATTTCTAGAAGTTATTACTGTCAGTGGTTTGCTTGGGGGTGTCATTTTCTTCAGTAATGCAGCCAGTGGGGGACTAATTGGGAAAAAAATCCAGAGGGAAAGGAAAGGGTCTAACAGAGAGTAATGGAGGAGGTGGTGAATATAATCACAACATACTATATATATATGTATGAAACTGCCAAAAATTAAACAGAAAAGAATGATCGAATTAAAATTCATGATCTCAAGGGACCAAAACCTTAGTTTCTAAGTAGCTGAGGATGCACTGCCATGCCTAGCTCCTCCCTCACTTTGCCTGGGTAAGGGCTGGGCTCAACCGTCTGCGTCTGCTTTGCCTTTTACAATGAGCTTGAATGTGTTTGAATCTATCAATGCATTCACAAAGTGTTTATAAAATGATAAGGTGACAGAAGGAATGAAATCCTCTGTACACCCACTGACAGCTTTAGTTCACCCTGGAAGGAGCTTAGGTTTGTAGCCCCCTCTGGTGACTGTTCACAGGAACTCTTTTCCTGAGAACTAGAACCCAAGATGGAGTTTTTGATATGTTCTCTCCTTCTACTGAAGAGGTTCAATGGAGAGTTTCCTGTCACTTTGTTCAAAGAAAGACTGAATTATTTTCAGATATTGGGAAACTGAAATTGCTTCTCTGATGTTTTCTCAAGGACCAAATTAATTTTGTCCTCCTTGGTTTCTTGTTTTTTGTTTTGAGGACAGCTTGAAATCCGTGCTCTTTGTCACAAGGTATAGGTTTTGACAGTCTAAGAACTGAGCAATAATCTAGCAGGTGGATGCAGAAGTTAATGCTTATTCATCACAGGACCAAGTGAAGTTATGTGTGATGATTCAAAATGACTCCAATTTAATGTTTCTACTTTCCTAGAGGGTATTTTGAATAAATCACTTCAACACTAAAGGTATATGTAAAATTCAAATGCCACACTGACTCTCATCCTTCATCATCCAAAATCACAAATTTAGAACAGGGAAAGCCTGGTTGTGACAATGTAACAATGTTTGACATGGCAACTATGTATTCATACTTAATACATTTTCACTGTGCTCCCACTGTGTGCAGCTAGTCAGGTGATGACAATCATTAAGTGCTGGTCCATACGAAAAGAAAAGGCTGTGATTGAGAACAGAGATCAGATCACGTTAGACCCTTTCATCTGGTGTCCATTACTGTTGTGCTCAAATGGTGTAGAGAATCAAGACTGATTTAAAAGGACAATAAATATTCCAGTATCATTTGTTATTGTCTGTTTTATGTGATAGTTCTGTTGAGATAGGAATCATGTCCTACATAATTCTTCAGATAAGATATAATTCCAAAGCTTTAGTGTATTTACAGAAGTATGCAACTATTTTCATAATTAATTATAGAATATTTTCATGATCCCTCTAGAGAAGTGGTTCTCTACTTTTCTAATGCTGTGATCCTTTAATATGGTTCCTCATGTTGTGGTGACCTCCAAGCATAAAATTTCCATTGATACTTCATAAATGTAATTTTGGTAATGTTATAAATTGTAATGTAAAATTTATATTTTCTGATTGTATTAGTTGACCTCTGTGAAAAGGTCATTCGACCTTCCCCCTACAAAGTAATCTTGCCTCAAAGGTTGAGAACCACTGCTCTAGAGGCGTCTTTGCTCATGAGCAGTCACCGATGATTTTTGCCCATGAAATGCCCTCTACACAACCCCTCATCTACTTTTTATCTCTGCAGAATTTCTGAGGAGTTCATAGAAATGAACTTGCATAATACATGGCCTGAGACAGTAGGTCTCTGCTCATTTTCTCAGCTGCTGATAATAAAAGATGTAGACACATGAGGAAACAAGTAAAGACGGACTTTATTAAAGAAATTTAAGGACAGAAGAGAAATTAAGGAAAAATAAGAGAAACTCCCACAAGTGGGAGGGGTGTTGAGAGGAAAATCCGTGGAACAGCCCATCTGGGCATTTTAATGACACACTTCAGGCACTAGACAAAGACTGAGGTCATTTCTACTGAGACTGGTTTTCCTCTGTGTTTACTGTGGGATGAGACAGTTAGGGGCTTCTACACTGGGTTCCTCCTCTTCTGACCCAACTGGGGAGATAATGGCAATGCTCCATTCACCTGCTGTTCACCTAATTAGGGAACAGTCACATTTTGAAGCTCTCTTTCTCTCTGTCTATTTCCTTTGTCAGGTGTTCTCCTTGGCTGTTTATTGACTACTAGCCTGGGCCTCTATTGCAGGTTGTCAATCTTACAAGTGAGGCTAGTCTCTATTCTTGAGAAGGAGGTATCCAGTAGCCACTAATTAATAATATATGTTTTGTCTTTGTTCATGTGACTTACATGTAGAATTTTTTATATAAATATAGCTAATAACATGTGGCTGGATTTCTCTTGGTCTCCCCTGTAAAGGCCCTTGACTCTTCATGGTCTGCAGTAGTTCACTTTCTGGATAGGTGAATGATATATATAGAAGTTTTTAATCTGTTTTAGTTAGTCATATTAGAAGTAAGAACAAGTGAAATGCAATATTCTTATTTGCCTATGTTTTGAGAAGGATGATCCAACTGGCTGCTCACAGTTTTCTCAGAATCCTGTCTTTTCTCTCACCTGCTCATCTTGGCTGTCTTAAACCCAGCTGTGTAGTAAGAAGGTCACTTATTTGTTCCTGGCTGCCCAGCTAGCTTAGCCCCTAAATAATAATACATAAACTCTATTAATTAAAACACTACTTGCACCATTAGCTGTAACTTTTTATTGGCTAACTCTTACATATTAATTTAACCCATCTCCATTAATCTGTGTGTCACCATGAGGTTGTGGCCTACCAGCAAAGATTATTCATGTCTGACTCTGGCAGCTCTGTGGTGTCTCTCTGACTCTGTCTTCTTCCTCCCAGCATTTAGTCCATTTTTTCCTGCCTATCTAAGTTCTGCCTTGCTATAAGTCCAAAGCAGTTTCTTTATTCATTAATGGTAATCAGAGTACACAGAGGGGACTCCCACATCACTTTCCATTTTATGTTACAATAAAAAGGAAGGCTTTAACTTTAACATAGTAAAATTACATATAACAAAAGCAGTTATCAAGCAAGAATTATAGCTACAATATTTATATCTACTTTATCTTTTATCACAACTAAGGAAAACTATAGCTATAAATTCTTTAACTCCATCAAAGACTTCAGAAGGATAAGATATTATCCAATTAAACAGGAAGCACATTGTAAGCAACTTTCAAATCTCTAGAATTGACAGACACATCTCACTGCCTGGACAGTCACCCTAAGTTTTTTGTACCAGTGAGGCATCCATCTTCAGAATCTTCAACAGAATTTTTCATTAAACAGAAATTTCAAATTCAGGTCTGCCTATATTGGCAGTTTGTCAGTCACTTTTTTCTGTGTCCTGCGAATGTCTTGTAGACTCTTTTATGAAGCAGGAAACCTGAATGATCATCTCACTTTTAGGCAAGTTCACCAGTCACTTTTTGTATGTCCAGTTAAGCATTCCAGTCAAGAGCAGTTTCTTGCCCAAAGGCCAATGGTGCCAAGAAAAACAAGCTCTGAGTGAAGTGTCTTTTGTGCACAGCATTCTCTCAGGAATAGAATGGAGCTGTTAAAAACAATCATGTCTCATGTCAACAGAATCCTAAGTTATTTAAATGTCATGTTTTACAGATCCTTGAAGTGGTTGAAGTTTACCTATCTAGACAGAATGCAATCTCTACGTATGTAAGGAACCTAATTGATCTGACTGTATGTACAACAAACATGAGCAACTATTATACTGACATATAATTTTTAATAGGTATATAACTTAAAGACTAAAACATCATGTCAGAATATTAAATAATCTGTAAACAAGTGTGTAACAAATGAGGACAATGACCTCAAAATGTAAACAATATAAAAGTATCTTGATCAGAGGTAGGAGTAATATATAATGTAATATGAAAATATATCCTAAAAGTTGTATCAATATACTAAATATCCTAAACAGAGGTATAAGCATGCATATATACAATCTGACATAATAACTTTGCAAAGGTGTACAAATAATGTAAACAAAGTAACAAATATTATTTGAACTTGTGTCAATATAAAAAACTATAACAAAGAAAATCAACCATAAATAATAGCTCACAAGTATTCACTCTATTACCCACCATTATTATCATTTTTTTGAACAAACATAGTTTTCACCCCAACCCTCTATTTAGTACAGGTAATAATCAACAGACTTTGGATGATTTCTCAGGTAGCTAATTGTCTCTGTCATATTTTACTCACTTTGGAAGTTTCCTAGTTACACTTCTTGCCTGCTCAAGTAATATTACTTCCCTCTCAGGCCTTTGATGGGGTTGAAAATTAGATAATTGCAGCTACATTCCTCTTATGATTTAGCCAAGCTTATTTCCAATACAATATTTAGGCTCTTTAAAATAAAATGCTGATTAAAACATTTGTCATGTGTTCCTTGCTTAATATTGCTCAGGTTGTTTGTAATTTAATACTTGATATCTGTTGCTATTATACATAGTTTTGTATTGGATTTGGAGCGCTCTTGTTTAGACAAAAGGGGGAGATTATGGGGAAAGCTTTGTTAACCAATAATCTTTAAGAGGTGGAGCATAGTTTAGGCATGGCTTTCTGGGACCGGGAGATAAAAACCTATGCACCACCCAGGTGCACTGTCTGTGTAGTTTCCCCCACTGGCAAGCAGAGCCTGAATCTTCTGTTTCTGTGGCCTGAGTTTTTCCCCTTATAATAAATAAAATATACTTGTCTATCATTAAGTTAGCCTGGTTATTTCCATATCTAGTTAACAGTGACACAGCTGTGAGCCCTTCATGTCAAATATTGTGTTTTCGTGGATGTTTGTTTATGCATATGTCTTCCAGTGAATATGTGTTTCTCATGCTTTTGTTTATTCTTTTCTGTTTGCTTTGTTTTTTTTTCTGGTTTGCTTGTTTATTCGCTTGTGTGATTTCTACAGAGATGGAGAAAGAAGGTGTGATGTTAGATGAGTGGGGAGGTAGGATGGATCTGGAAGGAGATGAGGAAGGGAAAACTGATCAGAATGTATTCCTTGAAAAAGATGTATTTTCAATTAAAACAAAACAAAAGAAAAACAGAGGTACAGATTGAGTCTTTCATGCTCAAAGAGCCCCAGGTTTACACAGAATGGAATTATTTATTCTCATTATCAGATAGATTGGATCACATCCTTTTGAGATCCAATATGCAGAGCTGAAAATAGTTGATTGTCCATGAGGTGACTGCTCCTCCAGGATTCAAGTAGTGACACAATACTTAGGGGGAAATGTGACAGTAGAGTTTCTTCTTATTCATGTTCACTTATCATCTAATCATTTTACAATAACATTTTTTTTGTAGTTTCTGCCTTGTAATGGAATTGGACAAGGGGCTTCCTTGAATTTTTCTACCTTAAATTTCTTTTTTGTTACTGACAAAAGAAAATACCTATAGATAGTGTCAGCCATAGAATGGCACTGGACTGGGAAGAAATTGTCTCATCATAGGTAAACCTAAGACCATTCACTTCCTTAGGTATCTAACATACATGCCATTTCCATGACAGGTCCCTGAAAAGTTAGAAAGATCCTTTCTGGGTTTACAAACTCCCATAACATAAATAAATTGATATTGGATCACAAGTAGATTAAATTTATAGTCAACCAAAATGAAATAAAATAGAACTTTGTTGAAAATCATGGTCATATGTGGTGTGACAAGGTGGTGAACTGGATAACCAAGGGTAAAAAAAAAGCAGGATGTTCCTTTATGAGGTCCTGTTTTATCATTAAACCTAACCCACTCTTCATGTAAAAAATATACATACCCTGCCACTTAGAGAACCTGAAAATGACAATTTATTAGTATATGAGGCAAAGGTCATGCTGACAACTTTTTTGATGTCTTTCTAGAGTTAAATATCCTCTTTACAGAGGTAACTGGAAGGTTTGAATTCTTAACTGAGGTAGTGATAAAGCTTGTGCAACCTGATGTAAAACAGAGAATTGTTTTCTCTTTTTAGATGCAGTAAAAGTGACTTAGATTTTTATAAAACACAGCACATTTTGTGCTGAGTTAGTATTAGCTTAGCAACTGAAAAGTGTTGCAATTTATATGAAAATATCAAGGTAGGGAGTGCTGTCCCCTCGCAGCCACTGTTCTTTGCTTTGTTCAGGTAGAGTTGTTGGGATGCTGAGTGTGTGACGATGGCTCAAGGAAGAGAGAGCATTGGCTGGGTCTGAACCAGGAGTAGTGGTTGCTGTAGAGGTGTCTGCAGCTGGTTACAAGTCTTCATTTAGGAGGAAAAGACAGTGGAAGAATTCAAAACGTCATTTAATATAAACTGGAAAGAATTAGTGAAAGTCAATCAAGAAGACCTGCCACTGCAAGAAGAATTGGCAGATAGCTCATCTATTGCCCCAGCGAGGTGGAAGGAAATGAATTAAAAGATAAAATGTGGCACAAGTATTAGAACTACTTAGTTGCTGATGGTGGCAGCACAAGAGGTAGACCTGACTTTGAAGAAGTTGAACAAGCTGGAGAAGGACAAGCAAAATTTGAAAATCAGCTAAACACCAAAGTAATGGAATTGGAAAATGAACTGGAGATGGTTCAGCATAATGATGGGATACTTGGTTTATACATGATAAAATTCACCATCTTGAAAACAAGTCAGAATAAAAAAGATAGACAAAAAATGTAGAAAAGTGGTTGGATAAAGAAAGCTAATGATCAATTGGCTCTTTGCCTAAAGAGCCAGAAAATGGAAACAACAAATTAAAGATAATGAACAGTTTAATAGATTCACAAAAGGAATAATTTTAATCAGGAAAAGAAGACAGCAACAACTGAACATAGTTGCCTAAAAAGAACTTTGAACTTATCTGGATGGGATTCAAACCTTAACAAAAACTAATGAGAAAATGGAAGTTCAGAAGCAATAAATAAGAAAAAAAATCTTGAAGTGTCAGAACAGGAAATAAAGATGATGAATGACTATAGCAGGATGAAAGCTGTTGTGCAATCAACAGATCCTACTGTAGACCAGATTTAGAGGAGAGGATGGCCATTGGCAATTCAAGTGCAAGAGCTCAGAGATCTTCTAACAGCAAGGAATGAAGAGGAAATTCAGGAATGATGACTGCCGGTGCTTTTCTCAATTGCTACAACTCATCTGCATTTTATATTTTGATTTAACTTAAATTTTGAATTTGATTTTAAGAATTTACAGCAGAAAATGACATTTATATTCTTTTTTAAAAGCTTATTCTATGTCTTATCTAGAAATCTTCTAATACTACTATCCATAGTCCTCGAACTCATTTCTTTATTAAACAAGCACTTTCAACTCAAGATTAATCAGGAATGAGATTAGGAAAAAAATCTGTCATGATCAGTCAGAAAGCCTTTTCAGAGCACCCTCTTTCTGGGCCTGATTGCTTATTCCAATCTCAAGTCATTTTGTACCATCCACTGTCAAGAAGCTAGGATTATGATAGTTGCTGTTGTGAACTCTCTGAAATGACAGAATTAGTCATTTTTATTGTAGAAAATTGTCACTTCTAGTGATACCACTTCTAACCATGCTCACATAAATCTTATTGACAATAAGGTATTATTTATGTTCATATAATCAATATTTGAAACAAATGTAGTTGCAATGGGCATGGAAGTGAATGAATCACAAAGGGGGTCAGTTAATTTGTGAAGCTCTAGGAAGAAAATGTTTTAGCCAGTCCAGTAACTGTTGTAACACTCAGCTGCCAATTTTATGTAAAAACAGCAATGGAAGACATTTCGAGAATGAGTGAACATAGCTGCTTTCCAATTCTTTGCAGAGACAAGTGGCAAGCCAGAGTTTTTCAACTGTGTAAAATAAGCTGCCAACCTTGGGAAACAGCAGTGTTTTGACCACATTTAATTATTGTGTAATTAATTCATCCCCTATTGAGGGACATTTATTAGCTTTCCATTTGAAAGCAGTGTTTTAATGAGAAGTATTACATGAATATTAGATTGCAGATGTGTAAATATTTTGTAGAATCAATCGATGCAAATATTATTGCAATACAAATTGCAAATATATCTCTCTAGTTCAATATTTATCTTCTGCCTGTCATAATTTTTGATGTGAAAAATTTGTTTTATAGTGCATAACTAAATGAATCGTAATTTTTAAAGTATCAAGACATTGTTAGAATCATATCATGGTTTGATAATAATATTTGTTTGTCTTGCCTTGTACAGCTTAATTATTAGATCTTCAAAATTAATTTTTTTTCTCAGCTTCATATTAAGCAGATTATCTGTAAGAGTTGTTTCAAGCTCACTAAATACAGGTTGGAAACAGTTGTTCTCAGTTTTCAATTCTGAGAAAAGACCAAGATGATTCTGGAGTGTTAATTTTGTGATATTAGCACAAACATTTGATAAAGTGTAGATTTTAGTCATGAGGCTGATGTTTCTGAGCATTTGTCCTTCAAGTCAGTATCACCTCGGTCGGAGTTTAAGTGTGGACTTCTGCAGTGGTAATTTTCTGTTTCCTCACTCCTTCTTTGTAATTGGTGGTCTGATAAAGCCTCCACTGTGAAAAGCCTCCTTCAGAGTCTCCTCATGTCAGGGCTGTAGCTGCATGAACAGCTGCAATTTGGGGCCAGGCTGCAGGCATGATGGAAGCACTGTGCCTCTGCAGCACAGAAGTAGGTGCCTGAGTCCCCCAGCTGGGCATCCCTGATGTGCAGGGTGCTGTACCGCTCCTTGGAGTCAAATGTAGACTTTAACCTTCCATTCTCCTTTGTTCCTGGAGCCTGGTAAAAAAGATTGATGAAGCTGCCACTGGGACTCTGCTGGAACCACTGCAAACTCATGATGGTGGTAGAAAAATTGCATAACAGAGGAGAACTGGTTCCCTCATAGAGTTTCAGAGCTGAAGGACTTTGTTCCACCTCAACTCCTCGCACCCCTGCTTGGAAACAGAAAAGCAAACCAGAGTCAATGAAGGGTTTTCACCCACACCTGTCAAGCCTCCCAGGAAACACCATAAGGATGACTGCACAGGGGCTTTGAATTGATTCATTCCCCCTCCACCACTGACATCTCTGCAGAATTCCTAAAGCAACTTAGGTGAGCACAACTCACAGTAAATCTGCACCCACAGAAGCCCCAGCGCAGGTCCCAGTTTCCTTTTCATGGCCCCTGTCCAATTGCTAATGTTGTCTTCTCCAGCTTGAGGATGACAAGTCTTGTGCTCAGAAATACTTATGCTTACACACAACAGATTCTCTCCTAATCACGGAGGATTCTCTGTCATCAAGAAACCCCACCCACTTCCGCCACGTGCCTCTGCAAGGCAATTGCTCCACAACTGTGGAGGGCAAACATATAGAGCCCAGGACACTATATTGCAGTGTAACTCTTCTTATAAGGAGAGTTTGGGGAGGAAATAAATATGTGAATAAGGTGAAATCATAAGTGCAGAATACTGGTATGAATACTAATGACTCCAGTGGGTTAGATGAGCCTTGATTTCTGCCTTGAAATTGCTTTCATGCAGTATATTCTGGTCATTGTCACATCTCCTCCATCATCTCCAAGAGCTTCCACAGCTTCTCACCCACCTAACTCCATGCCCTTTCTTTTTCTTTCTCTTTAGAAATCAGAGGAAAAGAAATAAGCCACCCAAAAGTAGAATTAAAAAAATAATCAAGAAGATACTCATATATAAAACCTCATAAAAGCGCAAAACACATACAAACACAGACAAAAGACCAGTTAAGATTTAAAAAATGCTCAAACTAAGCAGTGTCATACCACATCATCTTCGGATTCATCTGGTGTTGGCCATCTACTGCTGGGCATTGGCCTACCCTTCAGTGTGGTCAATAGACCCAATAAGAAAGTCCTGGCAGGTCTTTTAAATTACCCTATTTGACAAATCAGCATACAGTGTACTATATAGAATAAAAGGAATGTTCTGCAAATAAATCATCATGCGCATAGAAAACGTTCCAACACAGTTGTGGGCTATAAGGAAAACAAGACATGCTCTATCCCTGTTTCCACCCTGATTTATTTTCCATCTCTTATCTTCTGCCCAGCTCTTTCACTGTGCTGCACAGGAAAACACTGCTGATTCAGATCAGACTATGAATGCCAGCTCCAATTCAGTGAGGCCCTGCCCTTCTATTCTTTCATATAAAGTATTTCTTCTCAAGTACTTATTTTTCTCCTTTCATATATATAATATATGTATATGTGTGTGTGTGTCAATTATGCATATACATCCTATATGATATAAAGAATAATGAAACAGTTTCTATTTCTTTGAATTTAGGAAATTTTAAGCATAAAACCAAAAGAAAGTTATGAAAGCAGTGGAGATGCTTTCTCTAGAGTGTCCATCCTCATAATGCCCAGTGATATGTTACTTTGCTTACATGTGCTCAAAGATTTTTTTCCTTTCTTTTATTTATTTTTATTAAAAAGAAAACAAACTATTTTCATTATGCATACCAATCCAAGTTCCAACTCCCTTCCCTCCTTGCACTCCCTCCACTTACACTCCATCACCCTCCCCAGTCCCCGCCACACACTTCACAGAGAGGGTAAGTCACATTGCTTTGGGGAAGGTCTGAGGCCCTTCCTACTATATCTAGGCTGGGCAAGGCATCCATTCAAAGAGAATAGGTTGCCAGAAAGCCAGTACATGCAATAAGGATAAATCTTGGTGCCACTGCCAGAGGCCCCTTAGTCTGCCCCAGCCATGCGATGGTCAACCACTTTCAGAGGGATTAGTTTGGACCTATGCTTGTTCTTTTCCTGTCCTTAGAAGTTGTTGAGCTCCCATTACATTAGCTCAGGTAGACTGTTTCAGGGAGTGTATCCATCAGGGTCTTAACCTCTTTGCTCATATTCTCACTCCTCCCACTCTTCAACAGAACTTTGGGAGCTCAGTCCAGTGCTCCGATGCAGGTCTTTGCTTCTGTTTCCATCAGTCACTGGATGAAGGTTCTATGGTGATATTTGAGATATTCATCAGTCTGACTACAAGGCAAAGCAAGTTTGGGCACCCTCTCCTGTATTGCTTAGAGTCTTAGCTGGGGTAATCTTTGTGAATTCCAGGTAATTTCTCTAGAAATTTCTTGCAAGTCCCATTAGACTTGATTAGTCTCAATCAAGGTATCTGTTTCCTTGCTCTCATCTCTGTCCTTACTCCATCTTGACTATCCTGTTCCCTCAAGCTCTCCTCCCCCTTCCCTTCTCATCTCATTTTCCCCTTATAACCTCCTTCTCTCCCTACCTCCATGCTTCCAATTTTGTCAGGCAATCTTGTCTATCAGCTTTCTACATGGATCTATACATGTTTTTCTTAGGGTTCACCTTGTTATTTAAATTCAGAGAACTGTTTTTAAAATAGATTGGTAGACAAAATGGGATCCAGTGAACAGACGCTAGATATCTGTGGTTTTCTATAGAATGACTGAGAGTAAAGATAGGTGTGTTCTCTACATCATCACCCCTGTTTCTTGCTTTGTGAGCGGATTGCCTTGTGTCCTTAAGTCTTCTGGGGTCTTCAAACTAAGGTTTTGTAATTTCTAGGCACTGCAGTGCCCCCTAGTGGACAGACACCACCAACAAAAGTGACCAGCCCATTTCACAAGTCTCATTAAACCAGCACTTTTCACTCCATCACTTCCCGGTGAAGGAAATGCAGATGGTCAGAAGACAAGATTGTCTAGATTGAGCTCTCAAAAGAAGAAATAAAAATGTACGAGAAATATTTCTGAAATTTTTCATCATCTTTAGCAATTTTGGGAAATGCAAATTGAAACAATTTTGAGATTTCATCGTGCCCCAGTTAGAGTATGTAAATCAATAAAGCAACTGACAACAAATATTGGTGGGGGGGGGCTTTCTGTGGGGGAAAGGAACCTGCATTCACTATTGGGGAATGAAAATAGGTAGAATTCCTCTGGAAATCGGTAAGGAAAATCTTCAAAAATTTAAAGATAAATCTAAACACAACCCAGTATGCCACTTCTCAGTTTATGTCCAAAGATTTCTAAATCCTACTCCACAGTTGCTTAGTTATATTCATTGCTGCTCTATTACAGTAAGTAGGACATACAAACCATTTAAATGACCCTCAACTAATGAATGGATAATAAAAACAATGAATATTCTTCAATGTAAAGAAAAATAACATCATAAACTTTTCAGGAAGATGGATGTAACTAGAAAATGTTATTTAAAATGAGATGATAGAGAACCAAAAGGATAAATGCCATATGTTCTGCACTGAACTCCAAGTTCAAAAGAAACTGTAGAGGCCCCTAACTCCAAATCTTCACATGGAAGTATATAACTTGGAGTAACCACAGAAGTCAGAAAGTTCTGAAAGGAACATGTAGTAGGGGAGAAACACTAGAAATAGGAATAGCAAGGTAAGCATAATCTGGAGTATAGAAATTCAAAATTGTGACATCATCTTGGGAATTTTTTTCTTTGATGAGTATGAAGTGTCCTTCCCCTCCATTTTGATTAATTTTTGTTGGAAGTATATTTTGTTAAATATTAGAGTGGCCATACTAGCTTGCCTCTTGGGTTGATTTGCTTGAAAAACTTCTTCAAATCCTTTCATTTGAATTAATTTTTGTTTTTGATACTGAGGCGAGTTCCTTGTATACAGCAACAGAATGAATCCTATTTTCCTTTAGTCTGTGTCTTTTTATTGGATAATTGATGAAAGATGTTAATTACCAATGATTGCTAATTACTGTTAGTTTGTGGTGGTGGTGGTGGTGGTGGTAGTGTGTGAGGGTCTGTATGTATTTCTCTTTTTGTTTTGGTAGTGTGAAATTTTATGTTTACTGGGTTGTCTTGGGTGTAGTTAACCTTAGGGTGCAGTTTTCCTTCTGTAAGTGTGGATTTGTAGACAGTTAATATTAAATTTGACTTTTTCATGAAATAGCTTGTTTTCTCCTATTATTGAAAGCTTTGCTGGGTATAGTAGTCTGGGTTGGCATCTGTGGCCTCTTAGAGCTTAAGGTCCTTCTGGATTTTAGAGTCTCCACTAAAGAGTTGGGTGTAATTCTTATAACTCTATTTTTAAATGTTTGTTGGACTTTTCCCCTCTCAGCCTTTAATATTCTTTTTTCTTCTGTATGCTTAGTGTTTTGATTATTATGAGGCAGGGGGGCTTTCTTTTCTGTTCCAATCCTATTGATATTCTGAAAGCTCCTTGCACTTTTATACATTCTTTTTCTTTAGGTTAAGAAAAGTTTTAATGATTTTTTTCTTGAAAATATTTTCTGGGCCTTTGAGCTGGGAATCTTCTCCTATTTCTATTATTCTCAGGTTTGGTCTTTCCATATTGTCTTAAATTTTCTTGAAGTTTTGAGTCAAGAGCTTTTAGATTTAAGATTCTGTTAGCCTGATATATCAATTCTTCCCTTGTACCTTCTATGCCTGAGAGTCTCTTTTCCAACTCTTATATTCGGCTGGTGATGCTTGCTTCTGTAGTTCCTGTTCATCTATCTGCTATCTTAGTAAGGGTTTCTCTCTCTGTGATGAGACACCATGACAATGGCGACTATTATAAAGGGAAAATATCTACTTGAGATAACTTGCTTACAGTTTCAGAGGTTCAAGTCATTTTATTATGGTGGAGAGCATGGTGGCATGCAGACAGATGTGGTGCTGACTACATCTTGATCAGAAGACAACAGCAAGTAGACTGTTTTATTGAGCATAGCTTGAGCATATAGGAATCCTCAAAGCCTGTCTCAACAGTGACAGACATCCTCCAACAAGAACATTCTACAAACATACCATACTAAAAAAAAAAATCCATGCCTTCTAATGATACCACTTCCTTTAAGGGGCATTTTCTTTCAAACTATCACACAAAAATTTTCTATTTCCAGGATTCCATTGATTTGTATCTTCTTTAATTATTTCTAGTTCAGTTATCAGGTCTTGAATGGTTTTATTCATTTCCTTTTGCTGTTTGTGTTTTCCTCGATTTTTTAAAGGATTTATTCCTCTATCTCCTTCATAAGATTAGGTTTAAAGTCATTTTCTTTCTTTTATTTTTAAATTATATTTTTATTATATGTACAGTGTTCTGTCTGTGCATATGCCTGCAGGCTAGAAAAGGGTTCCAGATCTCATTATATTTGGTTTTGCGTCACCATGTTTCTGGGAACTGAACTCAGGACTGTTGGAAGAGGAGCCAGTACTCTTA